GACTAAATATTAGGAAATCAAGATAACACCTTGAAACATCCTATTTCCCAAGTGGAGCTCTAGTTATGTGTTCCTATTTTCTGCACTCCTTTCTAAGCTTGGAACCTGATGATTAACCTGTCATTTTTTATTTTTTTTTTATTTCCAAAGATTAGTATCCTAGTCCCATGCACACTGCACCTGCTTAGCACTGACATTTGTTCTTCTAAACTGACCCCCACTCCTGTTTCTCCGAACTGTCCAGAACACAAAACCTTTTTCAAACCCTGCACCCCATTGTTCAAGCCTGGAGCTCTAACTAGCTGTTGTATACAAGGTCTTTGATATTAATATTTGGTCTTCAAGTAACATAATTTTTTTAACTATATATATAGGATGGATTCTTGAAAATATAGAAATAAATATGAGAGATAATGTCAGTTGCATTTTTACACAAATTGCTTCAATAATGCAAATTGGAAACAGACATGTTGGTAAGACAGCATGAATGGGATTGGTCAAAAATGTAAGATGAACTGGGTATTTCCAGAAGATATGTAGTTGATAAATAAAGTAATTTATTAAATTTCTCTGTATCACAAATTATGAAACAAGTATATCTATTTGCCTTATCTAGATTTTTATCTATCTATATAGAACAGAAGATAATAAATAGTTTGCTCTGTACTCTTGTTGCCATGGACATGTGCACAGAAATGTAATCTACCTACACCCTGAGATTATCATTTAGAAGACAGTTTCTAATATATAGGTGAATTATGTAATATATATCCCACTGCAGTCACCTGTTAGTGAGATCAATGACAAGTTTTGGTTGCTTTGCTTATATCATACAGGTGGTATCATCACCCATGTATGAATTTATTACCTTAGCTATATTACATTAATCTTAATTTATTTACTGTATTGCATTGTTAAGTTTTTAATTAAGATACATTTTAATTTATGAAAGTGAAGGCCTCATTTCTCTTGGGTATGTTACCCAAAGTCTCTTGATTCCAACATCCTACCTGGGGAATTGGCAATGTCACCTGCTTCTCCTTCCCTCACAAATGATAATCCCTGGCCACAGCCCCTTACCTACCTCATCCATGTCTCAGTTTATGTTCCTTATCTTTTCCTGCTATAGCTGAGCTCCACCATCCCAAACAGAAAACACTCTTATCCCTGCAGAGATACAGGGATACAAAGGGGAAACGGTTAGAAGGTGTTCCAACAATGCTTCCTGCCAGTCCAGTTTGTCACTCTCGCTCAGGAAGTGCAAGAGTAGTTACAGCAACCTTATACAGGCTTGTAGAGGATCATTGTTGGTCTCCGGGGTTCATGAGAAGATTCCAACTAAAGGCAGTCAGGAACAGCTGACACTTTTCCTGGGTTTGTGATACATTTCTTCCTAGCTCTTCTGTAGCCCAAGATGATAGCATTAGTACACGTGTATTTTCCCCATTGGTCAGAGAAAGTCTTAACATTTTGCTGTGATTCCCCACAAGCTTGCACTATTCAACATCTAGATTGGAAGACCTGCTGGAAAATACCATGACATATTTATCTGGATTTCCTTTGTATGGAAATCAGAGAAGGGAAGGATGGCATGAGCCCAGTTCTTGTCTCAGGTCTTGGCACACTGTCAGACCAAGCAGGTATGAAGAGCCTGGGTTCAAGAGTTTTAAACATCTTCACAGTCTTTTTGGTAATGACATAGCCTAAGCAATCTTTTACTGTAGGATGAGAAATTGAAGTGATCATTAAGAAAGCATTAAAACATTTCTGTTATGAGATACATATTGTTTTATTATTTCAAGTCAGCCATGTGTGTAAAAGTATGCCTTGCTGAGCTCAGTGTCAAGATATAAATGAAGCTATTATTACTTCATATACAATCTGAAGACAAATGATAATCATGTCTTCCAAACATGTAATATTATCTTTGTAGTAGATGAATATATTTATGATTCAGACAATATGAAGCATTTTACAATTATGCATTAATGTTTATTTAGGACAGTGTAATATAATCAGATTTAATCAGATTTAAGTTGATGAGTTCTTGTCATCTTTATAAATTAATGTTTTCAACATTTGAGAATTCTGGAAAGAGAAAATGGAGAGAAACTTCAAGAAGAAAGAACATGTAATTCAGTTTTTATTTATTTATTCATTTCTCCTACGGAAAGCAGAGACTTCTTTTCTATTGTCTTCTGGGTTTTATAGTTTTAAAAGTTTTAAAAATTAGTTTTAAAAATTTTGTGATGTTGTTCACCCCTTCATAATTAAGGAAAGACACTCAGTGGTAATAAATTAATTTATAATCTTTTTAAATCTGGAATTTATATGATAAATTAGTTTCTGATCACATATTTACATATTCCTGAAGAGTAAAGGTGAAAGAAACTGTGGAAGAAATTTATAGAAATCCAGAGTGTGCTTAAAGTACAGTGTAATAGAGGAGACCATATATATATATATATTTTTTTTTTCTTTCTTTCTTTTTTTTTTTTTGTTTTCTTTATAAATCTGTACTACTTAGTACAATTTATTTGCACAAGTGTTTGCTGCTTTTAGGGCATTATGACTTAGCATTTATTATAGAAAAGGATTTCATTCTATCTTTCACCAACCCTCCTCCCTTCAACATACACATCCGTCTGTCTGATGTGTGAGGAGAATTACATTTGGCTTGGAAATAGAAAGAAGTATGTCTCATAGAATCATAGAATCATAGAATGGCTTGGGTTGAAAAGGACCTTAAAGATCATCTAGTTTCAACCCCTTTGCTCTAGGCAGGGTTGCCAACCACTAGAGCAGGCTGCCCAGAGCCACATCCAGCCTGGCCTTGAATGCCTCCAGGGATGGAACATCCACAGCTTCTCTGGTTCCAGTGCCTCACCACACTCTGAGTGAAAAAATGTATCCTAATATCTAACCTAAATCTCCCGTCTTAGTTTAAAACCATTCCCTCTTGTCCTTCAAACATTTCCTGTCCTGACCATCACATCTAGAGGATGTGGAAGCTCTCAGGAAAAAATGCAGGTTATTGACTGCTGTGTGCCTGCAGCAGTTCTGTAAAACTTGCCCTTCACTCCTTGACTGGCAGGCATACCGTCTTGATTCCTGTCTTAACCAGACAGGAACAATTAAGGGAGGGCTCCTAAGCAGTACCCATCAATTACAGTTGGAAGCTAGTTCACAAATGAAATAAGTTAATAAAGTTGCAATCTAATTAAGCCACATCTCTTACATCCTTAATATCCTCTTTCATGTCTAGGTAATGCATTTCAAGGAACTGTGTAATTTTCAGCATGTGCAAGGAGAAGTTTTCTGTTTGCTTGGTTGCAGTGGTGTTGCACAATTTACTAATCATTTGCCAATCATTAGACAGAACACTTTGAAAAGTGTTAGTTGAGTTACTTGTAATAAGTCACAAAGTTATGTGCTTTACTCTCATGGTCAGTAACAGTTGGTACCTTTTCAAGAAGCAGGCATGTTTGTTTTTTTTTAATTTTATTATTATTATTTTCTTCTTTTTCTTCCTTTAATCCCTAAATACATTTTTATTTCTCTCCCTAAGGAGAAATAAAAGCCTGTCATAATTTTTTAATTCTATTTATTGCTCCCAGTGCTCAGGGATATTTTAAAACATTGAACACTGCTGATTGTCAGATTACAGATTTGTTCATATGTTACCATTGTAATGTGATACAGTGGCATTGAAGTACAGCAAGCAAACAGAAGGCTCTGAATAGAGTCCCTGATTCTTTTCCCATGTCATATGAACTTGCGTATTTTTTCTAAAGAAAGATCTTGCATACAGTAAATTTGCAGTCATATGGAATGCAAATTTGCAAAATTTGGATGCATCAACATTAATATAATGAATTGATAAAACATTGTTTTGAGATAAAAACAAAAAATAAGGTAAAGAATATTAAAGAAATGGTGCATAAAATTTTGGTTCATTTTTATATTTTTAGTTTCAAATAATATGAATGGATTATTTTTACACTGAATGAGTCTGTTATCTAGTAGATAACCTTGGTTTTAGTCTTTTGCTCCCCGAGTCAATGGGAACTTGGCTGTAGACTTTAGCAGGACAGATTTCATGTCAAGATCCGTAAAGACCTCCTTCCCCTTGTAAAAGAAAATTCTGTGCCTTAGAAATCAATGCCTGTATTCCCACAGAGGACATGGTTGGCTGTCGTGCCTAAAACATAATTTTTCTGAACTTTAATTTTAACTTTTCCACTTAGTAATATCACCCCTGAACATAAAAGATATCTCTGGATTTGGAGGTAGATGATTAATGTGGGAAATCCCTGTAGAATCAAAATCTCATAATGTATTGATTTTCTCTGTATTCCCTCTGTAGGAAAAATGTCCCTGTAGAAAAGAGCAAACAGTACATGGCTCTCAATGTGAAGCATAATTCACTAACAAATACAGCGAAAAAGTCTAAGAATAAGCACTTTTCAATATGGAGACAGATGGCCACATCACTTGGCAAACATTCAGCTTTTTTGTCCTGACATGTTTAAATAATGTTTATCAAGCAATAGACATAGATAAAAATCAAGGTAGCCTTAAATTTATCTGAAACAGAATGTCAAGCTGCTGTAGAAGTGTCCTATAAATAACAATAAACAGTTGTTGAATGAAAGTCAATAAGTTGCAAACACTATTTCTACTGGCGTGTGGAAGTGCATATATATATATATATATATATAAATATATTTCTTATTCATGTAATGAAATGTTCTGTCCTGTTTCCCAGCCTGGGACTCAACATAATGTTTATATACCTGGCACAATGTAAAAGGATTAGAGACAAAACCAGATGACTATATTTTCCCTTGTCTTGTTTATTTAGGTGATGGATAGCTGAGTCCTAACTTTACCTATCTATCTAACTGTAATCATTTATGTTCTTCTGTGAATTTTTGCTCACGTGCACAAACACATACATACACATTGAAGTAAACAGACTTTTTCTCTTTCTTTCTTAGGCTTAGAAAGAATTGCAAGAGATTCAGCCTATGAGCAAGAAGGAAAAGTTCAGTTTGTAATTGATGCAGTATATTCCATGGCCTATGCACTACACAACATGCACAAAGATCTCTGTCCAGGATATATTGGTCTATGCCCAAGGATGAGCACAATTGATGGTAAAGAACTACTTACTTATATCCGGGCAGTAAACTTTAATGGTAAGTTACATGTGCTCTCTTTTTTTTGTCTTCTTTAAATGTTTCAGAAGTGATAAGATGTGTTTTCTTCTATATATAGGATACTTCAAGGCACAGTGGAAAACACAGGATTAGAAGCAGTTCTCATTTAGTCAGAACTGTGAGTTTTTCCACCTGCTTTGAAATCCCAAGTGTATTTTTCCTCTTAACATTAAGTTGCTCCCACAAGAGACAGATGTTAAAAATAAGAATCTGTCGATCAAAATATTTCAGTGAAAAGCTGCTATTATTGAAACAAGTTGAGGACTCATGCAGTCCTATTGACAGATTAAAATCCTTAGACAGAGGTTGCTCTTGTGTTTGCAAGACAATGAATTGAAAAAATACCCTTTTGAAAATTGGCTTCTTCTGAAATTACTGTTAACAATTTCCTTACAGAAGTGAAGAGAGGGAAATTTCTTTCAGCTTGCATATTTAAAGCTCAATTAAAAGACTTACTATAAGTTCCAGCTTCTTTTCCATTTCATTGTTTTTTTTTTTTTTTGCTCAATGATTTAGTCAGCTCTAGCACAACTGCAATATATATTTTTAAACAATGCTACATAATCTGTGCAGCTGGAATCTGCCTGCGGGGGAAATGCAGTTACTGTTGCTTGTGCTGTCAACAGTAGAGACTGTTAAAGTACAGGCTTAATTTATGAATGTAGAATTGAAAGGGGTAGAAAGTATTTGGTGGTAAAATAAAGTTGCTGAAAACTTCATGAAATATTATTTCATGAAACCCATAATTGTTTTAGGCTATATTTGCCATTATTTTACAAGGAAATGGAACAATGTGCTTTGCTATGTTTTCCTTTTTTTCCCTACTTGGTGGTAATTCACGTACTAGAAATGCCTTCTAACTATAGAGAGAAGCACTGTCTATCACAATTCACTCCAGTGACCTCAGCTGCCAGCCTTTTTGAAAAAAGCACAAGGTCATTTTGAATTTAGCTTCCAAGTGGAAGCATTTTTTGCTTTAGGTAATGTACCAGACCATTTGGTTTATATGAATATTGGCTGCAGTTCACATTTTTTTTCCTCTTCTAAACCTTTTTTATTTCTATGCAATTTTTGTGAAAAGGGAATCCCTGTCTCTAGGAATATAAATACAGAAGGAGTTTAAAATGATTCTTTAGGGATATTAAAGAAAACCTGGAGCAAAGTATGTAGCTGGCAAATGGGAATGTTGCTATGATGACAAAGGTAGGCAGCATATTGTAAGGTTTGCAGTGATAATTATCTACATTTCCAGCTTATATTCTTCTTAGTCTGTGTTGTTAAAGCATAAACAAAGTGATTTATTTTCATTTGGTTAGCATAAAAGTTTAACATAAAAAGATAATCTATACGCTTTTTACTTGAAACATTTTTCTCCCTAAAGATTGCTGTATTTCATGTCATGTCATGAAATACAAACCTGTCATGTTTTCTCTGGCTGACTCTAACTATTGCAACAACTTGGGGAGATGAAAAGAGTGGAATAAACCATTCTGGACACTAATGAAAAAATATCTGTTTTTGAACAAGTGATTTACTGAAAGAGAGGAAAAGAGGGAAATAAAGGGAACATTTCTGTGAGGTTAACTTTCTGTCTCACGAGATACAAAAAATCTTCTCTGTATGAGGTTAGTCAACATTATGTACAGGTGTGCTAACTTTCTGTGTGTATCATATGTCACAGTATTTCCCTGGGGTGACACACTGAGGTCATGCAATGGGAGACATCATCAGAAGACAGTCTTTAATCCCGTGCCTTTTCCTATTAATCTCGTCTCCGTTCCTCAGGAAAACAATGTAGCTGTGTCTGACTTGGTTTACAGAGGTGAACATATATACAGGTTGCTAGACCTCGTGTGGTGGGAGTTGACAGTAGTGCTGTGTGTCAATTTTTACGTGAGTCCTTGGTTCAAGTCACTATTAATGTATTATTTAAAAGTGAACTGATACATGAAAGGAAAACCTGGGCTTTTACAGCCATTCAAGGTAACATTTTTCTATCCTAACAATAACAAGATCACAGTATTGCTGAGGTTGGCAGGGACCCCTGGAGACTGCCTGCTCCAGCCCCCTGCTCGGATCAGGTTCGGCTAGATCAGACCGCTCAGGACAACATCCAGTCCTGTTCTGAATATATCCAAGAATGGAGAATACTGCAGAATTTTCTCTAAGCAATCAGTTTCAATGTTTGAGCATCTTCACAGTAAAAAAAAATTTTCTTATGCTTAAACGTTTTCTGTGTTTTAGAATTAAGTCACTGTGCCTCAAGATGATAATAATCCCCCTTAACAAAGGTAGTACTGTGTGGATGCAACTGCAACATTTGAGTTTTGTTGCTACATTGAGTTCAGTGGGTTACAATTCACAAAGTTGACTTGTGCTGTGAAGGACATCGTACTGTCTTATTGGAGAGTCCTCAGTCTCCATAAGGGGAAGAAAACATGCATGTTTCTCTTTATTGGAGTAAAAGCTTTTGCTTTTGATTACAAGTAATCACTTTGAAATATGATGATTTTTGTTTCCTGTGTTTATTTTTATTTACAAAATATAAAGAAGGTTTGTTCCCCTGAAGGATTCATCTGTGTAATATTCCATGACACCTTCATAACTGAAGGGTGGTCATAACCACCAGCACACAGTGCACTGATGTAATTGATATGACACTTGCTTCTGCTTGGATATTCTTCTGCCAGTTGTATGTTAAACAGAAAATCTCACAGTTCAGCATGATTTTGAAGGGGACAGAAGTTCTACATTTATAATAGGAATGAATAAATTTATTTGTACATGAGATTTGAATTACTACTGAGTGCAATCTTCTATTTTACTATTGCCTTTGTTTTTCTTAGAACAGCTATCAAAGCATGGTGTTTAAAAACAATTGCTTTTCAGTTATAATGGACAGTTTAATCATTAATTTCACTTATGGAAAGAAACCTCTAAGAAATTTCTAAAGTAATTCAGCAGCCTATTGCTATGTATGTAGAAATTAAAAGTTTTTTGTTGTTGTTGTTTTTTTTTTTTTTTTTTTTTTAAGGAAAAAAAGGAAAATATAAAGACTCTTATTTCCAAGCCAGAGCATTTCCAAGCCAAGACACAGCCCTAGGTTCCCTAGGTTCTTGGTGTTCCCAGCTGGTAGACCATAACCAGCCCTTTCTAGCTATTTGATTAAAGAATACTGAGAGATCTCAAAATTTTCATGCTCCTACTTGTCTTTGTTTTTCTCTGGCAAAAAGTAAATATGTTGTCACTTTATGGATTTTTTTTTTTTAATAGAGATTCCACATTTGAAATATTTTCCTCACATTTGTTTATTTTTTTTATACAGAAAAAAAAATATTTTTATGTGAAATTGATGTTTACTGTTTAAAATTATTGAAATCATTTTTTTCTTGTCAATTAAGTTTATAAATGATGATGTACAATATGGTGTAATTGTGTAATGACTCAGTAGATCTCCCTTCTCCAATGTTCTCATTGTTTGACTTCATTAGACTGCCTACAAAATAATAAGATGCTTTCTAAGAGTTTTTACCCTAGCACATGCTCAGTATTTTATGAGCAATGGTCATCATTTAACAGAAATAGGACTTGAACGTTCATTCGTAGTGGAGGTGTTTCAAAGTGTGTATTTGTATTTTTTTAATTTTCTTTCATTTTCAATGAAAAGATTTTTCTCTGTAGTTTCCTCTAAATGGGGGGGGCGGGGGGAGGGGCAACGGGGAAAAAGGAAGAAGAAAATGACAAAGTGATTAGCATGATATTTCTTGGGCATAAATAAAATACAGAATCATAAGATTGATCTATGTCTCTCTCCACAGTTGTTCTACTTCATAAGTAAAGATCAGAATTTGTGTTTGAATTCCAAAGACAAAGGTCAATGCTCATATTGTACGTAAAGTGTTTCACAGAATGACACAGAATCACAGAACAGCTGACATTGGAAGGGACCTCTGGACTTCATCCAGTCAAAAGCCCTGCCAAGCAGGGTCACCTAGCACACATTGCACAGGATTATGTCCAGGCAGTTTTTGAAAATAAGAGTGTACAGCTTCTTTAGGCAACCTATTTCAGTGATCTGCCACTCTCACAGTAAAGAAGTTTCAAATAGATGAACACCCATTTCTCTCTATATGAAGTTGATTTGTAGCTAGTGTGTGGTGTAAAGTATCTTTTTTTTTTTGCCTACCTGTACATATGCATTTGTATTTACATTGACACACTGCAACAATTCCAGAGAGAAATATCTAGCAAACGTCACACACTATAACAAAATATATTTACAGCCATTAAAATATGAATCTTTCACTTAATCTTAAAAGTAAGGGCAGAACAAGGCCTGTAGTCTCATACATGAAAACCAATACATTTCCTTGCCCCTGACTCCCTGTCTCTCTCCTTCCTTCCTTCCTTCCTTCCTTCCTTCCTTCCTTCCTTCCTTCCTTCCTTCCTTCCTTCCTTCCTTCCTTCCTTCCTTCCTTCCTCCTCTCCTCTCCTCTCCTCTCCTCTCCTCTCCTCTCCTCTCCTCTCCTCTCCTCTCCTCTCCTCTCCTCTCCTCTCCTCTCCTCTCCTCTCCTCTCCTCTCCTCTCCTCTCCTCTCCTCTCCTCTCCTCTCCTCTCCTCTCCTCTCCTCTCCTCTCCTCTCCTCTCCTCTCCTCTCCTCTCCTCTCCTCTCCTCATCACATTTTTTCCACAGAAAGCAGTATCTATAGAGGACATTAAACAAACAAACAAACAAACACACACACACAAAAAAAAGTGTCGGGTTTCTCATGGACAATTTTGAACCTTTCAGGCAATAATTATTTTGGAAACAACTGTTTACAAAATTCATCTGCTCCTGCTATTTTATGAGTTTGCTAAGACATTAATCCATGCAGAACTCTCTTGACTTAATATTAATCTCAGACAATTTTACATGTTTTATTCAAGAAAGCTGACACCTCTCTATTATTTCACTGAGTACAAAATTTGCATTCTCA